ACCCGTTTTACAATTATAAAGATGAAAATACAATCCAGCGCCATATATAATAATAAGCTGTATGCTAACATGTACAATGTCTCATTTAATCTTATACTCTATATTCAAAAACTTCGCTCTTTTTGTCAATGTTTCACATGGATTATTTATGTAGTATTGTGGGAGAAGGCTGTTTCTCAGATCACAGTAAAATGAACATTCAATAAAGAATTGGTACTCTGATTCAATGGTAAGTACAATACACAGAGGGTAGAATCACTCATGTTGTTATATATTTACTTTTCGCCCTTATTCCAACATTAAAGGATGGTCTGAACAACGAAACTTACTCAAAGCAAAACGAATCGTTGCGTTGCCGTCCTGGGGGGTCGAGTGATGGTGTCACCATGCACTAATTTCCACCGGACCCCGCAGTTCGTGCTAAATCATTTAGTAAATGGGTTATGTTTGTGAGTGCGAAGCGAGCGTTGTGGAAGCTTGGAACGATATCTTAAATTTGTCCAGATCAGCTTCGCGGAAGTTAAAGAATCAAACTACTTACTACTTGTAGTACAATATATATATGATTGATGACCAAAAATATTTTCCATGACACAACTTGAAGCATAAAGATTTCTTCCTCGAAGCGAGGTCGTGGTGGAAGTGACAATAATATTGTAAGTAGTGTAATATTGATTTCACCTCGCTTCCTCGAGAGAAATTGTTATGATATAAGATATGTCACGCAAAAATCCTATTGGACATCAATCAAATACATATTGTACTACCAGTAGAAAGTAGTTTTGATTTTGTAACTCGGTGAAAACAAACCTAAATAGCATTTATTGTCAGACTCGCGGATGTTCGCGACAGGGCGCTGCCATTTTTAATAATCGTAACATGACGGGCTAAAGTCTGTTAAAGAATTAATGAGATTATGGTTTGTTTTCATCAAGTTAGAAAAGCAAAACTACTTTCTACTCGTAGTTAAATATGTATTGGAATCATGGCCAACATGATTTGGCATGACACAACTTATAACATAACGATTTCTTCCTCGGAAGCGAGGTGGGGGTCGAAGTGACATACTGCGCAATAAATATCTTGCTACATTCCCATGGTTAATGTCCACTCACCAGTATGTAGATACTAGTCAACGTGCGTCTTTCTATTTGGTTTTATAATCCTAATTAGTTTATTATCATACTTATGTGCATTTTGAAACTAAATAAAAATCAGGCGATCTGCCTTTACTTATAACTTGAATATCTAGACATTGTAAATCATAATTCGCACACACACGCTCTAGTGTATGTTGTCTGTCTCATTACTTCACGACGAAATCATGGATTCTGTGGAATGCTGCGACAAATGAATAAAAACAAAATGCAATTATTAAAACTAAAACAGGTAGTTATAATGATGTCAGGCTAATACTTTGTTCGAGGAATGTATCCATCAATATCCACAAAAACGAGCCGTATGCCATTCACCTGCAGCTGTTCCAAATGATGTGTCTTTTAACAGTCTAATACATGTTCACGAAAAGTGATATATCGTTTCAGGTATTTAACATAGGTATATAGTCTCATTGGTCACCCAAGATAGCACACCTGGCCACTAATTGCATAATGTCCGCCATTCTTTACAAAAAAAAAGTAATTTAGTTAGCCAATAATGAGCAATCAATCAATGTCTTGGCGGTTAATCCTTCGAAAGAAGGAAGTTGTTTTACGCAGACACAGACACGACAGAGTGTATTCAGTATTGATTAGTTAATCTACATACATAAACAATACCTTTGACAATGCCGCTGTGTAAGATAAAAGTAATTAATCAATCAGCGTGTTATCCGTTAATCCTTTGATCGATGTATATTATATTGGGTATTTACTCCAGACACAAGAAATGCAAAATGGGAACCTTTGTCGGGTTATCTAAGTGGTGTTACCTGTTTTAAATTCATTAACTGACCATCAAGTGAATGATGACAAATAACATGTGTAGGTTTATACCACCTAACACGGGTTAAAACATGGGAGTATTAATTGCTGTATTGCATGTGTAAACCTATGGGCCGACACTATTTTGAGAATACGGACAGAACTTCATTGTTGCATAAGAAATACATATAAGCATTTGCTGTGTGCTATAACTGTATGTACCCTATTTACCTAAGTAAATTTTCAGAGCCTTCTAGCAATGGCAAAGTGGGGTTGTTTAGTTTACGGATTCAAATGGATCAAATGTCATTTTTAATATTATACGTCATATTTTTACATGACGTGAATAAATATCGAGGTAAAAACCCACAGAAATGGGATCAATTATGATGAGTCAATATGCCATCCACGCATTAGAAAACCCGCAAAAGCCCACACTGCTTTGATACTTTAATACAATCAGACAAGAACTACCGGGAAATGTTCAAATAACGGCATCTGATGGGCATCCACCCTTCCTACTGTCGCACTGTTTAGGTTGAAAAATTAACCGTAACCGAGATGAGCGAGGCTGATCATAGTTTTCACTATCACTAGCGACTGGTCTCGAACAAATAAGGCCCAGCGACACCAGGCAATTACGACAGAATCGTCTATGAAAACAAGTTGTAACTCGGAAAGGGAGCAGGACAAAAGCCACCCAGTTATTTTACCATTACAGAGAGGACAAGTACCACCCATATTGATTTTAATGTATACTTTGATGAATAATTTGGTTCTTTAAAAAATGTATTCACTTTGATAAACATACAGCTTTCATTTTCACAACAATTGTCACGATTTCTGTTCCTGCTGAGCTGTAGGCTCGTTCGATATCTCGCGATGTCATTATCTACTCCGACATCAGAACGAGACTTTTTTATAAATGTAACCAACTAAACTCAAGCTTTATGGACCTCCAATTATACGATAAGTTTTGCTGGTTGTTATCAAATGACGATACCCAATACGAACTAGCCAAAAGTCTGCAAAGTATGTTCCACAAAAAATCCTTTCAAGAAAACTGTAAATAATTTTAATGCATTAATTTTATTTTTCTATGTACTATCTCTACATGTATGTAATGTGATATGTATGTATGTATGTTCGTATGTATGTATGTATGCATTTAAGTATGAGTGTGTATGTGCGTGTGTGTGCGTGCGTGCCTGCCTGCCTGCCTGTGCATGTGCCTGTGTGCGTGCGTATGTATGTATGTACGTGTGTACGTATGTACATGAGTGTGTAGGTATGTATGTATGTCTGTATGTGTGTGTATGTAAGGATGAACGTAAGTATATGCGTGTATATGTTGTGTAAGTGGGTGTATGTATGTGTGTGTGTATGTATGTGTGTGTGTGTGTGTGTGTGTGTGTGTGTGTGTGTGTGGCTTGTATTTATGTATGTATGTAAGTGTCTATGCATGCATGTGTCTATGTATGTATTTAGGTATGTATACGTCTATGTATGGATGAATTTATGTATGAAGGTATCTTTGTAGTTATCTATGTTTGTACGCATCCATGCTAGTATTTAAATGTGTACCCATGCATGTATCTAAGTGCGTATTATGTCAACAATCTTTTCATATTTTTTAAACGCTTTTTAAATATTGCTGATATTCTTTTTTAAGGTGTCATTTCGGCCTCTCGAGGCCTGGTGTTTGCATTTTATATGCTGTACTATGCTGTCCCATCATTTATAACACATGACACTATAATAAACTACTATTATTATTATTATTATTATTATTATCGCGATAATGCACCGAGGAGATCATCAAAGGAGTGGATTGCTTAAGCGGTGCAACTTGTATTGTGTTGGATTTAGTTGATTGTGTGAATAAGGAAGTTATCATAATATAACACTGAAATCAAGTTGATGTTAGCTTGATAGTGTTCCATGGTCAACATAGCAATGTTGATGAAAATGGTATTGTATTATGCGCAATTTACTTTAATACTCCCGACTTTCATGCAATGAAAGGATCCAAAAACAAACGGATAGTGTCATACTTAAAATTGATGTTTATTTATATTCGGAAAAAGAATTTTCAGATTGCACATATGTTGCCAAGAAGACAGAGAAAGATTAAATTTCATAAAAACATACCATGTACAAATTTACAAAAATATGTTACACAAATTTACATTTTCTTCAAAGCATACCGAGGCGGTTGGGGTAGGGTACATGTATAATTGTCAATTACTATTTATGCTACAGACTCAATGTATTTACCAACAAAACAATTACTTGATAATTACCGGAGAAATTATCTCTAATCAAATGTCAGCAAGCTTTTATAAACATGACTGTAGTTCAAAGTTGAAACAAATGGTTTGGGTATCCTAGTGGTTAAGGCGTTGGCTCGTTACTCCACAAATACAAATATATAAAACATAATATATACAAACTTATAAGAAGTTTATAGCACTAACACAAGCAAATTTGTTTTGAACGTTCTTGATAAATCATATTGTTAAAGGTCACATGCAACCAAAAAATCGAACATAATTAAAACACAATTATCACTTATTCATGACATAATATACATTGCTGATTATGAAAAAACATATAAACAAAATTATAAGCGTACAATCGCAAAATCAAAAGTGCAATATTTTGTACTTGGGTTTACTTCCCAAGAAACGAAGCAGCCGGGATACCGAACCCAGTCAGAGCGAGTGGGTGTGCACTCAAGTGTAACGGCTGGTTCATTTGCAGACGCCCCTCACGGTTCATTATGTGTGTATATCAGAGATGTTGGATTTTGTAAATACATCCTCATTTTTTGTGTATAACATTTTGCAATCAACAGACATCATAACATGTCATGTGTACAAGTATCACACCTGCCTTTCTGTGTAATTACATAATGTGACCGAGACCGAACGCCATTAATCAATACGTTTTGTTTATGGTGTATAGCCTGATAGCTGTTAAGTTCAAATTGCATGTGGTCAGTGATCGAAGCTGTGTATTGAACATTGTCATTAGCAGAAAGGCAGGCAGACACATAGGCGTCAATAAAACAGACACTTGTCTGCGACAACGACATATCCGTGTCACAGTTAGCTATTCTGTCAACGCTAAATAATGACATTGCTTTTAAGTATCGAACTGAGAAAGTGACTCGGTAAGAAGAACGTGGTGAAATAGACAAATGAAATTATATCAACAGTTAAATTGGTAATATACTGTCATAACATAAAAAGCTCGCGCCTGTGAAATATCAACGAAACATTTAAAAAAATAGCTCACACCAAAGCCTTCACCGAGTATTCACCGGACAACCCGCTGCGCGAACCTATCGTTTTTGTCATCGCATTATTTTTCAACTTTATAAGTTGAATTTGCATTTTTGATGATTTGTTTCGGTAAATCCATACCGAAAGGTATCAGAATCTGCAAAGTTGTGTTTTACGTTGCATGTGACCTTTAACATAACGCTAGGAACACTACTTACATTTTAAAAAAAATTGTTATTTTTGTTACAATCTATTTGAGATTTGATTTTCCTTGACTTCGTTGTAGAGATTATGTCGTTCAATGTTGAGACTGTTGCTCTGCAGTCTTTCTGATTGCATCTCCATGAGATCCATTCTCTCCTTCCCTCTTGTTCAGAATGAACATATACCGGTAACCGTTTACACATAGATATCGTCAACCACGAAAAGTAGGAAGAAACTTCATCTAACTGTGCATTTAGCACAACTGAATTTGTGGAAATAATGGTGAAAACTGTCATTTCCAAAGTTCTTATAGCAAGTTTCTGCAATAAAATGAATACCTCACAACTTGAGTGAACTAATTTATAAATCAAAGTGACTGTGTGAACTCACTAACATGGATTCAATCTCATACTGGTAGTCTGGTATACATGTCGTGTTCTCATTGCAGGTTTTAACATTTTCAAACGTATATAATTGTCACCACAGCGACAAACTTATTTTACAGTTGAGTAGAATGCATCCAACCTGACCTCACAATGATCGGTGTGATAATTCCAGACATAGATAATCACAAGCATCTAGACCTGACCCTTCAAAATAACTGTAACTGCGATATTAACATAAATTCCACTGGCTGGCTTATTATGAAATTAATCTCTTTTATAAACTGGAATCTTTCAAATGTATATTTGTCTCTGGAATCATATCTGTGAGCTTGTGGGCTGATTACCTTGATCTAAAATGAATGTTTTATTAAAACATTCTGTAACGTTTTGCTTGTAAATGATCACATTAATCTATATAGACTTATGATTCAGTAAAAAGGGAATTCATTTGAGTATCTGCTTCAATCCGCACATGTTTGGACAACACAACCACTTTTCTATTGACAAGTTAATGAGATTTTCGTGAATACGCCCATTGCATAACACTGTTATTGAGCACAAACTCAAATGGCCTCTACCTTGTGACAGGTGTTAATTGGAGAATGTATTCTACTACGATTAGTTCCCATGAAGTAGACTTGTAAATATATAGAGTGATTACCTCCAAGACCTGGTGATCTCGAACAAAGGCCAGTTAATGTTTTAACAGGCACAAGGTTGATACAAAAGTTGAAGGGGTAAAGAAATGAAATAAGCCTAAACTGAATTTGACATTTTCATGACATAATATATTTGGTGTTGCCACAATTAATCATCAGAAGATGAAACATATCATGTGAAATATATCTCAACTATCATTTGGAGGGCCTTTATCGATCTTCTAAAATCTGCCATGCCAACACCCCAAGTAATAATAAGATACATAATTTTCAAATGATGTATGACCTATTTCAACTTATTACTGACCCTACGAAGGTCACCCAAAACTCTAGCACTTTGTTAGATATTAGTAGATTAATCAATAACTCTCGCGAGACGTAGACCGTATCATCCCCGTAGACGTTGAGTGAACATATGAATCAGTATCATTATAATCTCAGTGAGCTAAACTCAGTAAATTCGATCACATTTCAAAACAAGTTCAGATTTTTATAGCACCCAGTCCCTTATTCCCGTATAACAACACCGACGCAACATGAACGAGATTATACTGTAATAACAAAATCCTACTTCACGGGAATACCCCATTACGCCATGGCACGGGTTCACTTTCATGGCATGTAATACACTCAGTCAGTCACTGTCATATAGTCCATATCGCTTAGGTGTATGGAATTTGTATTCATACGAACATTGAAAGGGCTGGGGTGGGAGAGTTGAAATTAAACACATTTGCGCGTTTGTGGATAACAACTAAAACATACACTTGAAACTGACTTTGAAAAAATGCTCGCCATACTAGCGGTAAATAGAACAGTCATCATCAATTTTGACACATAGAACAAGAAGAATGCAGATGAGTGAAGTTAAACTAATATATAGAATTGGTTCCTAGTTGGTCGCATAGGACGGCGAATAGTAAACACCTACTCTATATCCCAACTTTCAAAAAATTATCACTTCACGCGTGAAACACAGTTGCATTGATATCAAGCACAAAGGGATAATATGAATATATGGCGTATTCCTGCAGTTTTCATGAATAAATATGTCACATGCAAGATACATTATCAACAATAAGAACTCTAACAGATCAAAAGATTCGTCAAATAGTTCAGTCTATACACTCATGGAACATGTGTTATATTTGGGATTACACTTTCTTAGTAAAGTACAAATTCTAGTACTTTTGAGTTGAGCACCATCCGGGATACTGAACTCACACCCTCAGTCAGGCACCCTATCGCCAGCACACAAATCAGCCTCCTAACCAACTCAGCTACCGCGACTTCCACAAAAAATGGAAGTCGGACAACTGGTAATCTAGACTGCGGGCTTTGTGTACCCCTCTGATAAGTGTTAATTGGCACGGCTCCCTCGGCCGAAAGCTATGATTACACAATGCCATACACTCATGGGCCGGGGATCCTTGGGGAAAAGGAGAAATTGAAAGAAGTAGTGGTAAAATCCTTCCTAAATTTCCAAAAATTTCCAAGCCTTGGAAACATCATCTTTCCAATTTTGGAAATTTTTGGAAATACGATGTTTCCAAATTGGAAATTTTTGGAAATCACCATTTTTTTTCTTGTGTTCACACCTGTCGCCGTACTGTTTTTTCAGTTCGTTGTAGTAATAGTCGTACATCAGGTGTTTGGATAAATCGAGGATGCTCATCCCCACATAAACAGGCCGGTTGAATTTGATGTGGCTTTTCTTCATGTGTAGGGCAACAAGGTCGTCGGTGAATATCTTGCTCCGGTTGAATGCCGGGCTGGCTATCAGTCTCCTGAGCTTGTCTTCCTCATTCGACCGAACCAGCTTCACGGTCACGCGTTTCCTCAGGTTCTCCATAGTCTTACCGAACACCGAGTTGTTCATGAGCTTGTAGAGGTTTTTCTCAAAGTCACTGGTGGCCAGCTTTCGCAGTTCCGTGTTCATTCTGATGTAAGGCTCCATCCAGGGGCTCTGGTTGAACACGAGCACCCTGTGTATTTTGGTCAGCCTCATACCCAACGACAGGTACAGCTGTAGGTTGCGATAGTGAACGATGTACTTGGTCTTATTCATTAAGTTGGGCACTAGTTTTTCAACGTCTGCCACCCGCCCACCTAACAAGTTATGTTGGTACTCAGACATCCAGTCTGGGTTAACCCTCATACGTTCGGGGGCCAGGGGGTAGCTGTTGTGTGATGTGTGTAATGCCTTGGGGTATTCTAAGTCCCCCTCGAGGATATAACCTTTGCTCGAATCGTCCGCGATGCTCATAACATCGATCTCGTGCGATGTACATTCGAATCCCCCTGTGGGTACATACTGGCTCATGGCCCAGCCGTACAGGTTGTTGGCGTCGAGGTAGAGAATATGATTGGTTGGCTTGCTCGGGTCGTAGCCCTTCACGTATTGATTATTTGCTTTCACGTATCGTTTGGTTGCCATGGAAATCCCACCTCGCAAGCCTTTCTCAATGAATAGGTGCATGTCGTAATCGGTGAGCAATTCCAACTTAACTCCGGTCTTTTTCAACAATGCATCCCACGACAGACCTGGGCTGGTGTAGTACCATGCGGGGTCGAGTTGATACTGCTTAAAACACGTCCGCCTAAACGTCTCGAACACGTCGGCTAGCAGCAGTACATCTGTCCTCAAGTACAGGTCGTGGTAGTCACCCAGATTCTTACAGTCCAGTTTATTCCATACGTTAATCGCGTGCGAGTAATCGTCTTGGGTGATTGTTGAGTCGGTCAGGTTGCTGTAAAATTCTCTGATGGGGGGTAGTCGGGTCTCGGCGAACTTGGCCCAGCCATCCATGTACTCGTAGGGGTACACACCCTTCCTCATCATTCACCTCAGGCCATTCAAGCTGAAGGAGATGTATCTCTCCATGTTGTTGGGGATGCACGTCAGGTTGCCGTCGACTTTCGCAATGGCCTGCATGATCAAGTGAGAGTCGTACCCTCTCAAGTTGTGGAAGACCACGGGGATGTTTATTGTCTTGGGGGTGATTCTAAGCTTGAGGTTACACACGCTGTGAGCAGCGCCTCTATACTTACCGGTGACTTGGCAGTGATCTCTCACCGAATCACCGTTCAGTGGGCTATCACACACGTGGCAGTGAGTGCTGCAGACGTGAGCTAGCCGGTCGGCTTGAATCATACGCATGGGAGCAACTGTGTATAGTGCATTCCTAATACTTTTCTCTTCCTCCTGCAAACACTTTAGAAACTTTTCAGCCGCGTCTGGACCCCTGTACACCACGGGAGCTTTCGTTTCCCCATCACATCGGACAACCACGTATCCAAACCCACAGGCCTCGTGCTCCTGTGTTTTCTGTGTGGCTGGGGTACCCCCAGCAGCCCCGCCGGTGGCAGCCTCAACGGGTTTGTCCAAGGCTTCGAAGTCGGCGTAGATGACATAAGGCACGGACATCTGGATCTTGTGGTTGGGGAATGTTAGGATATTGTCGCCTTCCTTGGGCATGTTGACTCGTATGGCCATCTGCCCCACACCTTGGCAATCCCCCCGGTGTGATTCCAGCAGGTTGGGTCGGCTGAAACCGTGCAGGCATCGCACACAAAAGTGTTTTTTCCCGTCGTGTTTCGACTGGTCGTGCAACAGCCTGCTGAGGCGTTTTATCGACGTGTAGTGATACTTATCTCCTCGCT